GCAATACCTTTTCAGTAAAACCACTCCAGAGCGCTGTCCTCTTTGGCAGGACAAAACACCTTGTGGTGACCTGTCTCCCATGCTCTCAGTGAGTAGGGACATAGACTGAACAAGGGAGATTTGGGGGAGATAAACCCAGCCCTGAAAAGAGAAGTTAGCAGGATTTTCGAGCAGTCCTGGGCTTACAGAGTGCAGGGCCCTGATCCTGCAAGCTGTGCCACGTGGCCAGGCCTCATGCAGGGCTCCGCAGTGGCTCTGCAGGGTGGGGGCCCATCTGAATAGAGATTGCAGCGAAGGAGCTAGATGACACATGGCTGCTTCTGAGCACAGAAAGGGGGAGGCAGTGGGAGAGATGGGAACCCATCTGCGTTACTGGTAAGCGTATGGCATGCTCCCACTGATCCTGCCATAGAGGATCCCACGTAGAGGCTGGCTGTGCTTTGCTGCTCCTTAGCCTGTGCCCTCCAAGGGGGCGGGATGGGTCCCAGCATGTTTCTTCCCGGCCTGTCTCCCTCCCAGCTGCCCCGCTCAGGTGGGAGGGCAGAGGGGCTGCAGCCAACACTGTTAGAAATGCCTGTGCTCTTCCAGCAACTCTCCAGACCCACCTTCTTTGCCCGCAAGTTTGAGTCAACGGTGAATCAGGAGGTGCTAGAGATCCTGGACACACACCTGTACGGCAGCTACCCCCCCAACACACCGGCCCTGAAGGCGTACTGGGAGAACGTCTACGACCGAGTCGACGGGCTCAGCGGCCTCAGTGATGTCACCCTCACCTTCTACACGTCCTTCTCCAGGCTGGGGCTCCAGAAAGCTGCGGCCACACCGGCAGCGAAGGCCGACAAGCTCTGCAGGTGGGGCACTTGCCGCAGGCTCGAGCCAGGCTCCGAGTGGCGGCCCTCATCTCGTGCTGGGAGGATGCTGATGCTTGGATGTGCAACCTCTCCATCTGTCTCTCTCTCTCCAGATTTGAGCCCCGGGGCTTCCCATCCAGCGTGCACTTATATTTCTATGACGACCGTTTCCAGGGTTACCTGGTGATGCAGGAAGTGCAGAATTCCGCAACTGGGCAGGCGGAGTCCCTGGAGGTGTGGATGATGCCCCAAGGAGCTCTGAAGCTAGCGGGTCACGGAGGGCAGGCAAACCGCTTACAAAACCTTGAGGTAAATGGGGAAGGGTTCCCTCACAACTCCCACTTTCCTCCCCGGCTTTCCCACACTCCGCTGCCTTTCCTCCTCTCCCCCACCTGCACGCTGTGGGGACAGAGGGACACAGTGCCGCCGTTGTGTCTGAAAACAAACCTTTGTCCAGGAATTTGGCTTCTGTGTGGGGTGTGGAGCTGATTGGTGGGGAAAAGACCTGAAAGGGGTCTTTTGGGGGGAGCTGCGGCTGTGGTGCCCAGCGCCTGCAGCTGCAGGAGGCATCGCACAGCTGGATTTGTGCTGGCATGGTGCAGGCAGACAGGAGCGCCGTGGAGGGTGGGGTGTGCATTGCTTTGGGCTCCAAAGTTTATGCCTTCCCTGGTTCGGGGAAGTGAAGCACAAAACCTGAGATGATGGCATCTCCTTGCCCAGTGTCCCACTGCTTGTGCCTCCTGTCATTCCAGGTGGGCACAGAGTGGGATCCCAAGGAAAGGCTCTTCCGCAATTTTGGAGGCTTGATGGGGCCTTTTGACGAGCCGGTGGCCATGCAGAAGTGGTCGCGGGGCCCCAACCTCACAGCAACGGTGGTGTGGATCGACCCCACCTATGTCATTGCCACCTCCTACGACATCACGGTGGATGCTGAGGCAGAGTTCACCCAGTACAAGCCCCCCCTCAATCGGCCCCTGCGCCCCGGTGTCTGGACCATCCGCCTCCTCCAGTTTTGGGAGCCCCTGGGGGAGAACCAGTTCCTGGTGGTGCCCCAGACCTTCAACCACAAGCAGCCTC